CTGTGGGTACTATTCTTGGTGCCACAAAGATGGTGGACATGAAATTTACCAAGCGATTTGGAAGACCAAGGCTGTGAGTTGTTGTACTAAGTCCAGAACTAATTCTGGATTTAGTTGACGTTGTAATCGGAGAAATTGTGTATGAACTCCAATTCAAGCTAGAAACAGAAGAGGAGGAAAATGACCCAAGACTAATTGACATGGATAATCAGCCGGGTGAATCTGGCAAAAAAGATGATGGTTTGGACAAACTCAACAAAGATTCAGGACCTAATACTAAGGAATTGGACTTCAACAAGGAGAACACAAAGAAAGATAAGAAAGATGGGAGTTCTTCTGCTCCACCAGCAGCAAAAAATTCAAACAAAGGGACACAGGCTGTTCTATCACGGCCCATTTTGGAGCTGAAGTCGACCGGGTTATCTGACTCGACCAAGGCTTGGGTAGTTAAATCCTTCCATGGGCCTTTAAATTTAGAACCCCTGTTGTGAATACCACGCCTACTCGTAGGAGCAAGCGCAATGTGGTGATAGGCGACCAAGACTCGACTGAGAGAGCGGCCAAGCTAAAGGCACACAAAAATTTGGAGGAACCTAATAATTCAGGTAACATTTTAAACACATCTTTTCTTTCATTCTTTAAAGATGTAGTTGCTCATAACATCAGTAAGGTGGGGGTTTTTTAGGTTCAGATAATACTAGTGTTAGTAAATCGATTAACAACCTTAAACATATGGAAAGAAGCAGACTGCATGTGTTGCCTAAATAAAAGGAACTACATGCTAGTAGCAAACAATTGGATTGTAACTTAACAGATTCGGAGGATGAACTTGATCTTTTAGCTATTAACCAGCTTTGTGGTGAGATAGCTGAGGGTATGAGTGAAGGGGAAGCTAGTGATCTATATGATCTACAGGCGGTGCCCCGAAAAAATAAATCAAGTTCAAAAAAGAAAAAGAAATTAGGCAAGAGAAAATCAAAAGAGAACCTTTAGTTTAACAAATGAAGGGCATATTTTGGAATTGTAATGGGTTAGGTGACCCCAAAAAACATAGATTTGTGTCTGATTTGGTGCGGGAAAAGGAGCTAGGTTTTGTTGCTTTATCAGAGACCGGTAGGAGAGACTACTGACCAAATTTTCTGAAAAATTTGTGTGGTGGCAAGGACTTTTTATGGCACTGTAAACCTCCTCGGGGAAGATCTGGTGGCATGCTAGTAGGCATAAACCTTCTAGAGTTCGACATTGGTGAGATAGAAGAAGGAGATTTCTTTATAAAATTGAAATTGAGAAATAAACAGGATGGTTTTCCATGGTTGCTTGTGTCTGCTTATGGGGCAGCTCAACATCATCTTAAAGAGGCATTTTTAACAGAGTTAGTCCAACTATGTTCTAAAGAAACCTTACCTATTGTGATAGGTGGTGACTTTAACATCATTAGAGGGCCACAAGAGAAAAATAATGCCAATTACAATGATAGATGGCAATTCTTGTTTAAAACTATCATTGATGCCTGTAACTTAAGGGAGTTGGAACTTTTTGGAAGACAGTCCACTTGGGCTAACAACCTAGAAATTCCAATATTTGAAAAGTTAGATAGGATTCTTTCTTGTACAGAGTGGGAATTAAAATTCCCGCGTACCACTGTCCAAGCTCTATCAAGAGAGATCTCTGATCATACACCCCTATTTATTAATACCAGGAACCTGCATCTAATAATAATCAATACTTATTTAAATTCGAGTTGGGTTGGTTGTTAAGAGAGAGGTTTGTGGATTTAGTTACAGATATCTAGAACAGTGTGGATGAGGGGCATAACTCTTTAGAGCGTTGGCAGGCTAAAATTAGTCGCTTGGGTCAATACTTGAAAGGGTGGGCCAAAAATACAAGTGGTGCTTACAAGAAAGAAAAGAAAAAGTTGCTAGCAAAATTGGATGAATTGGATAAAAAGGCTGAATCAACTTTATTAGATCAAAATGAATTGAATCTTAAGTATGTCTTGAATGAAAGATTGTCCGAACTTCTACGAGAGGAAGAAATAAAATGGTACCAACGTGCTAAAGTAAAGAATTTATTAGAAGGGGATGCCAATACAAAATACTTTCAGTTAGTAGCAAATGGGAAACATAGGAAAACTAGGATATTTAGGCTGAAGCAAGAGGAAGGTTTAATTCACGGTGACGCTGAGCTTAAAAAAATATATCACCACTTACTATAAAAAAATATTTGGGCCATCTGATCATAACAATTTGGTGATGGATGAGTCATGCCGTGATGACATCCCTCAAGTTACAGCTAAGGAAAATGATCTCTTGGTTGCTGAGTTTACAGAGGAGGAGATTAGAGGTGCAATTTTCCAAATGAACCATAATACGGCTCCAGGTCCTGATGGCTTTCCTCCAGAGTTTTATCAGGTATTCTGGAATGTAATTAAGGATGATCTGATGGCTTTGTTCACAGATTTCCATAAGGGAGAATTGCCTCTACATAGCCTAAACTTTGGAACGATCATTTTAATACCAAAGTCTAAAGAAGCTAAACAAATACAACAATATAGACCTATCCTTTTGTTAAATGTTAGCTTCAAGATTTTTACTAAAGTGGCTACTAACCGAATTGTAAAGATAGCTCAACGCATAATTAAACCATCCCAAATAGCATTCTTGCCTAGGAGAAATATAATGGAGGGTGTAGTTATTTTACATGAAACCTTACACGAGTTACATAAAAGGAAACAAAATGGAATTATCTTTAAGATTGATTTTGAAAAGGCATATGATAAGGTGAATAGGAATTTCTTACAACAAGCACTAAGAATGAAGGGGTTTCATCCGGTGTGGTGTGATTGGGTCAAAGTTTTTGTTCAAGGTGGGAATGTGGGCATTAAAGTTAATGACCAAATGGGCTCATATTTCCAAACCAAGAAAGGTCTTAGACAAGGTGATCCTCTGTCACCGATCCTTTTCAATATTGTTGTAGATATGCTAGCTATCATTTTATCTAGAGCCAAGGAGGAAGGCCAAATAAAAGGGGTTGTTACACACCTAGTGGAAAATGGCTTGTCTATCTTGCAATATGCAGATGACACGGTTCTATTTTTCGACCATGATAAACTTTTGCTTGGTACTCTTGAACAATTATCAGGTTTGAAAATCAACTTCTATAAAAGTGAATTATTTTGCTTTGGCCAAGCAAAAGAATTTGAGGAGCAATACTCATATCTATTTGGTTGCAAAAAGGGATCATACCCTTTTCGATATTTGGGCCTTCCTATGCATTACAGGAAGTTATATAATAAGGATTGGAAATTAATTGAAGAAAGAATTGAAAAGAAGTTAAGTGGGTGGAAAGGAAAACATTTATCATATGGGGGTAGATTAGTGTTAATCAATTCTGTTTTGTCAAGCTTACCTATGTTCATGATGTCTTTCTTTGAAGTCCCGAGAGGTGTTCTAAAAAAGATTGAATATTTTAGATCAAGGTTTTTTTGGCAAAATGATGAGCACAAAAGGAAATATAGACTGGCAAAGTGGAATATTTTGTGCCAACCAAAAGAGCAAGGTGGTTTAGGAATTCAAAATCTAGATTTACAAAATAAGTGTCTTTTAAGCAAATAGCTTTTCAAACTTTGCAATGAGGAGGGCACTTGGTAGAAGTTAATAAGGAACAAGTACCTAAAGAACAAGACTCTTAGTCAAATTGAAAAGAAAAATGGGTTTTCACAATTTTGGAATGGTTTGCTGGGAGTCAAAGACATTTTCTTAGGTCTTGGGAAGTTTAAACTAGACAATGGAACTCAAATTAGATTTTGGGAAGATAAATGGTTGGGCTCCCAAGTCTTGAAAATCCAATACTCGAATTTATTTGATATAGTGTGGAAGAAACAAGCAACGGTGGCTGATGTACTTAATTCCACCCCTCTCAATGTGTCTTTTAAAAGGGCACTAGTTGTGAACAAGCTGTTGGAATGGCAAAGTCTAGTTGCGAGAGTTGCTTTTATTAACTTAAATGAGGGTCGGGATACTTTCATCTAGAACTTAAATAATAATGGCTTGTTTTCTGTTACATCCATGTACAAATACCTAGTCAATATCGGGATTAAGGTTACCCAGGAAATTTGGCATATGAAAGTGCCCCTGAAGATTAAGATTTTTCTTTGGTTCTTAAAGAAGGGGGTGATACTAACAAAAGACAATCTTGCTAGAAGGAATTGGAATGGTAGTAAGGCTTGTTGTTTTTGTAGCACACCTGAAACTATCCAACACTTGTTTTTTATTGCCATTATGCCAGTTTTCTTTGGCGTGCTGTGTTTGTTTTGTTTGGCATTAATCCTCCAAGGAACATGAACTATCTTTTCAATAGTTTGTCTAAGCTAGGAGGTTCCAATCATAATCATCTTTTATTGACCGGGGCTATGACGTTTTGCTGGGCAATATGGATCACAATGAACGATGTGGTTTTTGATAAAGGTCACCCAAAAACTTTTTTGTGGGTTCTTTTCAGTACTGGTTACGGTTTTGGGCTCTATTGCAGCGCTCGAATGACGACAAGGAATGGATTCTTGATGATTACAAGTTACTAGAATCGAGAGCCATGGAGTTCTTCCCATCACATGGATGGTCTTTCATTTACCATCTTGGACTTTAGTTTTGAACATGTAATAAGTTTTAATTATGAGTATGCTAGAAGAAGGCTAAAGCCAGAAATTTTTCATTATCTAAAAAAAAGCCCCGTGACCGTGAACACCGGACGGGGCCCAGAGTTCGAGGGCATCGTCCTCGCCATCATCCACCAGGTCGTTGTTGGGGCCGGCAACACCCGTGCGCTTGTCGCCACCATGCTCCACCGCCACCTCCCGAACATGACGAACCTGCTGGCCACCTGCCTCGTCCTGCTCACTGCGGTCTACCTCGAGGGCATCGGGATGCTGCTGCCCCTTGCAGTCGAGGGAGAGGCATGGGCGGCGGGTCAGCTTCCCGATCAAGCTTCTCTACACCTCCACCATGCCCATCTTCCTGTACTCCGCCATGGTATCGGCCCTCTACATGGTGCCTCAGCTGCTCCACTATAGTCGCTTCGGCGGTGGCGTCCTCGGCCGTCTGCTTGTGCTTGGTGTGTGGAAGGAGGCCAGCTACGCCACCGTCCCGGTCGGTGGCCTCGCCTATTACATCACCCCGCCATCCAGTGTGGCCGCCGACCCGCTCCACGCGCTCATCTACACCGTGCTGCTGCTCGCCTCGTGCGCGCTGCTCTCTCAGTTTTGGGTAATCACTTCGGGGTCATCGGCGAGGGACGTCGCGAGGCAGCTCGTGGACCAGCACCTGGCCATGCCTGGAAGGCATGATGGTGCTACCTACGCGCAGCTCAAACATCACATCCCTACGACGGCCGCTGTCGGAGGCCTTTGTGTCGGAGCTCTCTCCATTTTTGCCGACATGACCAGAGCCATCGGCAGTGGCACTAGAATTATGCTCGCTGCCACTGTCGCCTACAATCTCATTAACTCCTTTAAGAAGAAGGATTAAGCATCATGCTACGCAAGCTAGGAAGGATGCAGACTGATTCAATTAGAGTCTGTCTACTATACACACATGTGTTTTAACATAATCCAACACATGGTTGTTGGCTGTATGTAAAATACACAGATTTCAACATAGGAAAAACCATGTGTTTTTGCACTAGTTAGCACATGGTTGTTAGATGCCTAAGAAACACACGAATTGAAACACCGGAAAAAACATGTGTTTTAAGAGAATGCAACACACAAATTCCATCAGGCAAACAAGGCCCACAATTGTTGTTTAGCCCAATAAAGACATGCTAGAGAGGCCCACTAACTAAGAAGACAGAGAGGCCCAATATCAGCAAAGAGTAGTTCAGCCCAGAGCCCAATAACTAAGAAGACAGAGAGGCCCACTAAAGACATGCCAGCACATAAGCCCAAAAATAGCAATCTATATACTTGGGAAACAAGCCGGGCAAACAGGGGGAAGCCTCTGCCCTCCGTGGAGATCAGATCTCTTCATGGGGGCAAGCAAAGCACTGCTCTGCTTGGAGATGAGATTAGATCAGAGCAGGGGAAAGGAGAAAACAACCAGCAGATCAAAGATGAAGATCTCCTCTGCGTGGGGGCAAGCAGACCAGAGGAAAGGGGCAACCAACCAACATATTGAAGGGGAACCACTAACCTCAACAGCCAAGGTAAGCATACCGACTTCCTCGTAAAGATGTAATCCAAGATTGCTAGTATTTGCTGCAACCAAATTCAGGAATCAGAAATATAGATTCGCAAATTAAGGAACTCAGGAAACAAAAATATAGAATACCTAAAAACAAATTGCGTATTTCAAATACTACAACTGGTATTTGCTGCTAATGTAATTATACTGATTAAACAAGCATTTTTGAAAAAAGGTAAAGTGAAGCTTATATGTGTTTTTGTTTTGTTTCTCTAAAGTTATTTAAATTTTCCACTCTTGATCTTTTGATTGAGACTCAGCAGCTAGAAATCATAAATAAATTTATATTCTGTATCTGACTCTTGTCTTGAAGGCAAGGTGCTAGCTATAGGTTGACTTACACCTTAGTAACAGAAAACAAGTATGAAAAGCAACATCAACATAGAATGGAGAGTGATTACCTCTTAGTGAATAGAGAGGCATGAAATCTTTATCCATGCCATCTGCTTCATAACTGCAAGACAATAAGTACCATCTGGATCAGGTTCATTTTTTTAGATGAAGACATGGGTTTATATATGCAAAACCCCAAATCACAGGTGCCTGATATATTACCCTGATCCTATAATCCTATGTTCACACTAATCAGAAGACTAATGTACCTAATGCATCTGACATTTGACGACAAGGCAAGAAGAGAGATTATCTTCCTGTCACACCAATTACTTCTTCTACATATTACTTCATCTAGATATGTTAGGTTGAATGATGAAAGGAAGCCAAACAAAATAGGTTTCCTCATCGCTAAAGCAACATTTTTAGATTCCAGCAAAAGCTACAAACCTCATGAGGTCGTAGAGAAACACTTCCCTTATGGCTGTAAAGGCTATGGTCTAGCAAATCCATAAGTGCCTCACCAACAAGGTAGTAACAGAAACAAATCATAAATAATTCAATAAACACATTATGATTTTTTCTATAGTATGATAGACAAAATACTGAAATGTGTTGCCACAAATCATAAATAATTCAGGCCCCACGAATTCAATATATGTTGCACCTACAAAAGAAGAGCCCCCACAACCAAGCACACCATACCTGGAATAGAATCCCAAATGAGCTTGTACCCACGACATGTTCTACCATGTAACTGATGATCTACATTTAAGCTCGGAACAAGAACAACACATGACCTACTGAAGACAAGATGAGGCTACCAAAAGTAAGCAGGCTACCATGTAACTGAACCACGTTAGAGCAATATTATTTCTCATCAAGACTACATATTGCACATGTTGGGCACCATAATTGCTGAAAATGAAGTATGCAATTTACTACTTATAAATGTGCAATGAAGAAATGGATACTAAACGTAGCCTTCTTGTACACTATATGCAACACACAGTTAAAATATATGAGAGCTCCTACTATTCTACAGTATATGTACAGAATCAAGACCTAATATATAGCTGAATGATATCTTAGGGTCAGTACAAAAATGTGCACGCCTCACTCTAACTCAAAAAGACTTACCCAAGGCTATACACAGCTGAGTGAAGCATGTCAATCTTCTAGCTTCACCGCTGAGAGCAAAAACATTCATAATTAACATGACAAGAAATAATTTTTTTTATGGAAAACAAGGATAAAAACTTGGCTTGGGCAGGCAAAAATCATAATAAAAAGAGGAAAGGGGGTGTTACAAAGACATAAAAGAGGTGTGTGTTGCCACAAATCACAATTGATAAACTTCAACATGTGTTAGCACAAATGACAAGGACAAAAATGAGATGTGTGTCGGCACAAATCACAAGTAACAAAGTTGAAAGATGTGTTACCACAAATCACAAGAGACAATTTTTTTTCTATGAAAGGACAAGGACAAAATTTTGGTGTGGGCTGACATAATCACAAGAAACAAAGGATAAGGTGTGTTAGCACAAATCACAAAGGACAGACAGTATGAGATGATTGAACTGAAACATAATTATTCTCCAGTACACAAGGCTGCTGCAAACATTTCTCAGGAAAGGCAGCTAAGTGGACAAATATCTTCAGAAAATAGCATGCGCCACATTGCATTCCCAATTTACCCCCCTGGTCACCACATGCACACTGTTATTTCTTGTTAACACTAGCTGAAGTTTATTTTGCTCACCAGCAATGCGCTCTTCATATTCCTTCAATAGACGAGTAAACCTTAGTACATAGACAAAAATGTAGCAGAGGGAATTATGGGAGTGTTCATGTATAACTTTTATTGAAAAAAGAAGAGTGCCACTAACCATTTTCGGTAGTAGGCTTTATGCATCGTAGGATCAAGTTCAATTGCTTTGTTAGCATCCGCCACAGCTTCTGCAAGTTTAGTTAGTAATTCCTTTAGTGCTATACATTTATTGTGTTAAAAAACAAATATGCAAGCCAATGATGGTAGCATGAATAACACTACAAACTATGCTTTCTATTTATAGCTGATTCTAACTACTTATAATAGCCCTACTATGTGTTAGATGCATGGAATATGTAATGATGACAAACCTTCTAACTAGCAAAATATGAAATCTAGATGTTTTAACAGAACATGAATCTAGAAAGAAGAACAAGGCTGCAGGAAATGTCAGAGGCACAATATCAGATTCACAATTATGAGGATATGATTTGCCAAGAAGAAAGCAACAATGATGTAAAATTACTCCTAATTCAAAACAGTTGACACAAACAATAAATAAATGAGAACTAATGGCTTCTTCATTTTCTTGCAGGTTTCAATTGCTTCCCTTATGCAACTAATACAAGCACCAGTCGAGTTTGATCAACTACTTGAGGTAAGAAACACAATTTAATGATGCAATGAAAAGCTATGTAAGTACTCACCTGCTTGCTTTTTTTATGAAGCAGAATAATATGTATGTCACAACAAGTAGATGTGATGATTATCCAACATCAGTGAAATCACAAGAAGCAATTAAGGAAGTGCAGTCAGCTCCTTACCAAATATTTGCAGGCACAAATTGTTCCAGTGACCTTTCAAATACCTACAGATACAAAAAGGTGAGCAAAATCATTGCTTAGAATAAAAAAATGCCAACATAAGAAGGTTGTTTTTTGACTAGAATATATTTCAATGCAGGGAGGCTACACTGAACTTATGATGGAACAGATCAGGAACTCTCAGGAAGATAATCAAACTGACTGGAATACGCAGGTAAAATTTTATAATACCAGTACACAAAAATTACAATTCAGACATATGTAAATTACACATATATGTGCAATGTAATTTCAGCATAACCGTACTTTAATTTCAATGCTTCATTATAAACTGTGCAGCAACATGAAGAGATGCAAGGATCATTAACAAAGATGATACATGGAAATGACAGGAATGAGGTAAAACTATATTATATATGGTTGTCAGACTAGTTGTGTTATATTATAAATGGTAACCATTCTCATTATCAAACAAATAAAACAGAATATGAGACTTGAAGATCTAGATGGAATCTTTGGACCACAAACTGACTGGTCAATATCAGAGTCAAGGCTGTCATATGAGGTACATACAGACAGCTGAGCAATTTGATTACGTTTATAAGCAATACAAATATGTATTGGCATCAAAGTAATACTTATCTTTGCAAAAATAGGATGGAGAAATGGCAATCGTCGCTGATGATGATGGAGCAACGACAAGCGTAGTTGATGATGATAGATCTAAAATTCAACAATACCATTGGCAAACTGATGTATTCAATAACGTGGACATTGATGAGGTACATAAAAAATGATCTCTTCAAGTATTTCAGTCCACACTGAAAAAAAATATTTGTATTATAAATCGCATTACTTAGAAATTGAGACTGCTGCTAATATATTTACAGGTGCAGCATGAAAATTAAGATGACCAACCAACAATGGGAGAAACTGACTTGAGGATCATAGCAGTAGAACCAACAAGTTTAGATATTACATCAACAGTAACAGATGATAATGAACATGTAAATGGCAGCCAGGAACTGACGGAGGAAGAGATTGAAGAATTCATAAAAAATGAGCAGGTTGCAGCATCTGAAGGCAACAATGCACTAATCAACAGCAAGTGCACCCCACAGCTATCGATGGAATTTAAAAGTAGGGATGATGCTCACTATTTCTTCAACTTCTATGCATTCCTAGCCGGATTTCAAGTTGCCATAACACATACGACAAGAACTCAAAGTAAGAAGAGAAATAATGAGGTAGTCAAAGTGATAATGAGATGCGCTCGTCAAGGAAAAGAAAAGGAACCAAAGTGTTTAGAGCAAGAAGAAGCTGAAGTAGACAAGGATGTTGGAAAGAAACTGGTA